AAAAAAAATAACATATCTCAAGATTGTATAGGAACCCCTTGATTTTTAAGGGGCAAGATGTAGATGTTCAAGAACTTAAAATCTAATTATTTCTTTAAAAATAATAATCTAGTAATATTTAGATCACAAAAGTTTGAATAAAGACGTAGATGTTCAAGAACTTGAAATCTGATTTTTCTTTAAAAATAATAATCTAGTAATATTTAGATCTCAAAATTTTGAATAAATGCTCTCAAGCAGCTAGTTTGCTCCTCGCGAAGATTATGGATATTTGGTCGGTTATATCCTCGTAGGAGTCCTAATTCCCTTGTGTATCTGCACATTTTCTGAGAAATTAATGAAACAATATCAAGGTACATTTCTTCAAGAATTGAATTCCCTCAATGTTTCATATTCATCTTTAATGCTTTCTGGTGCACTGCACGGGATTAGTTTGTTGGCTATTTTAATGGATTCCATCTGATTTGCTTATCCCTCTCTTTCTCGTGTGGAGCTTTATTTAGCTCTACTCTCGTGATTCCTATGAACAAATACCTTTCGACTCCCACTTGTAGAGAGAGATAAAAATTAGTTAAAAAAAAGAAAAAGAAAAAAAGAAAAAAAAAAATGAAAATGTGAAAGGAGAGAGAGAGAGATGTTTTCGATTAACCGAGGGGGAAGACGCACCTGATCGATAATCTGTACGGACTTTGAAGCTGCCCACGAGAAGGGCATTTTGGGCATTTAATAAAAATAGCTCGCGCGGAGAGAGCGGTGTGTGCAGGAAGCGTAGAGTGTCCAAAGAAGAGAGAGAAAGTGTAGTGAGAGAGATGGCCGCGCCAGCGATTCCTACTGCTCTCTCATTCCCGCCTTCCACTCTCCCCCGCAATCACCGCCCCTCTTTCTCTCTCTACCCCCGCTTACACCACATCTCTCTCTCTACCCTCCTCAAACCGTACTCTCTCTCTAGAACCAGAAACTCCCCCACCTCTCTGTACGCCTCTCTAAGCAGTGAAACCCTCGAATCCGAAACCCTAGACGCAACTGTAAGCTTCGACAACCAGACATCGCCTGATTTCACCACCTTCATTGTCAAAGCAAATATTAGAATTGGCCTCCTCCAAGTCATCACTAGGGTTTTCAAAATCCTCGGGCTCACGGTCGAGAAAGCCACTGTTGAATTCCATGGTGGCTTTTTCATTAAGAAGTTTTCCGTAACGAATTCACATGGCCAAAAGATCGAGGAAGAAGAGAGCCTTAAAAAAATTTCAAAGGCTCTTTTGGATGCCATGAATGAGAAAGGGCCAGTGGTGACTGCCCCATCGAGGGGAATTTCAACTAGGAGGGCTCCACCATCGCAGGCTAGAAGAGCTGAGGTTGTGTTCAAATTAATGGATGGGTACCTTAAAAATGATTCAGTTAGTCTTCAAAAGGCCATTCTGGATCATGTTGAATTCACGGTTGCAAGATCTCGATTCAGTTTTGATGATTTTGAGGCTTACCAGGTAAAATTTTGGATACAACTCGAACTTTTCCTTATCGATTAATGTGTCAAACCATGAACAATTTGGATCATGCGCTTGATGAATTATTGTTTCAATGAGTGCATCATTGAAGACTTTTGATTGACTGAAGTTTGGGCGTTGAGTATTGACTATCGAGTGATTTGTTGGTTGATTTAAATTTTTGAGATTTGGTCTTCAAAAGAATGAGTTATTGGGTACCCTTGGGAAGTTAGAAGCTATAAAAAAGACAACTTTGTGGTTAAAAGAGAAGAGGGAACCTTCAGATCTCTCTTCTTTTGAGATTTCTAGCTCTGAGAAAGACCAATAAAAATTACTTGATATAATAATAAAAAATAATAATGACCAAATTGCCCTTATCCAGGAATGAGAACATTGCGCAAACAGAGAGAGATTTGGTAATTTAGCCATATTTAAGTGACTTGAGCCAACCGACGATAAGACTGTTGTTCATGGTTAGCAAATGGAACTACAAAATGGTAAAAATAATTAAGTATTGCAACACAACAAGGGGTATTTTTGTATTTGGGCAAATTTTAAATTATCAAAATATTTAAAGTTCCTATTCATGAGCAGGGGTAATTTGGTCAATTTTTTTTTAATATTTTTAAAAGGTACTTAAATGAAGGGAAATGTTAGCCTAGGTCCATTAGTGCCTCAATGACCCAAATTCAATCTCGACCGATTTGACGGACACGATCTTTTTTTGTATTTGAATTTTAATTTTTTTCTATAAATCTAAATCATGTTAAAATTGTGACATCTATTCTTCTCATCAACACACATCTAATAAAAATATTAAAAAAATAATTCAAAAATATAAATTGATCAAAATACTTCTGAATTATTTTGGGGGTATTTTGGTCAGCTTATTTTTTACAAAATGTTTTTTTGATATTTTTATTGGATTTTAATATTTTTAAAGAACACATGCCTAAAATTTCAAATGATTTGGATTTATATATAAAAAAAAATTAAACTTTAAATACGAAATGCAATCGTGATCATTGGATCGGCCCAGATTCAATATAGGCCGTTGAGCTTATGTTTAGCTGTAGGCCAGTGGACCTACGTCAGCATTTCCCTTGAATGAAATAAACCTTAAAAAGCTATACTTGTAGTGTTAAATAAGATAATTCGACACCTCTAATAATTTTGTAAGGTAAATTTGTAAATTTGACCAATTAATTATATTTTCCTAATAAAAATAATAATTGCAACATTATTATTATTGCTGTTGATGTTCTTGAAAATTTATTATTATAATCCAATGGATTATGGAAATCCATGGTCCATTGGTCATAACTTTATATGGGCATGATAGATAATGGTTGGAGAGATTGTTACCCACTAGAAAAGTACAGGAAGGCAATATGGTCCCACTTTCACCCCCATCACGTCCATCATCCATATTCAAAAAGATGACCCAATGAACCATGGTTTTCCATAGTATATTTGTATGGTATGCACTTACCAACAAGAAGAAGTAAAGCATGCCATAAACCATTTATATATGGTGTATACCTTATGGTAAGGGCATCAAACATCACTAGTGGTGCATATGATACACCAAAAATCACCACTATCACAATCCATCATTTCATTGGACAATGATTACCCAATGAATTATGGTTTTCAATAATACATTATATTGTTGAAATTTGCCAATAATAATGATACCGCAACAAGAATAATAATGGACTTGTTTTCTTTTCTGATGGTTTGCCACTTTGCCCATCTTGCTCAGTCAATAATGATAATACAACGACAAACAAGAAAGTATGCCATGAACTTATTGACTATGGTAAATAGTACACCAAAGGGGCATTAACCATCACCAGTGGTCTATGGTTTATAATACAACAAAAGGGCACCCACCATTCTTTTCTGATTACAGACTGTGGACATCAACTGTTGTAGGGCCCATTGGGGCTTCTTTCTTTTTGATGGATGGGGGTCTGCTGGGACGTTTACCCACAGCCTTGATCATCCATTGGAATCCAACACCAAAATTTGATACCATGTATGCTAAAAATGTACAAATGCATAATAGCTATCTAGTTATAAAGCACATGCTTTGTGTGTGTAGTTAAACCATGAGATAGCTAAAATATTAAAAAAATTCCATAGGAGAGAGGGTGAGTCGGTGAGAGAATTTGAAGACATGGCATGGGTTTGGTAGATTAGATAGGATTTAGCAGATTTATTTTGGTGCATTTTAAAAGAGAGTGTGGTATACGCAGGGAAAGAGAGGGCGGTAAATCGTAAGGAAATGTTTCAGGGTTCCATGAATTATTTGATACCCAAAACATGTGGCAATACGCCAATACCATGCTTTATGGCTTTTCTAAGGGCCCCATGCTTTCAGTACATAAGTTTAAGTGATTTCTGTTTAGTGGTCACTTTTACAAAATAGATTGTAAGATATTGCTGGATTAGGCTTCGAGGATTTATCTAGAAATTTCTTATTTTTGGAGAGTGACCATCTAAAGGGGGAAATATAAGAGTTCTAAATAAACAAATTTGGTCACTTTGTTTTAGAGTATTATTTGGTTTCTTAAAATAGATCCTAAAAAATATACTTCAATTAGATTTGGAATATCCAATGGGGATCATGGGGGGGAGCATATATAGAAAGATGTCCTAAAGTCATCCTTTCTTCATATTTCTCTTGCATACTCTCTCTCTGTAGGTCTCCTTGTAGTTTGAATGCCATGTGGTTTACCCTTAATGTCCTTGTTTGTGTGAGCAGATATAGTAGAAATGTGATAATTTGAAATTCCTTTATTCAGTTTTGAAAGTAGCTTTGCAGGTTCATTGAAATAGGTCAGAGACTCTTATCTACTTATTTTGTTTTGAATTTTTGATATATATGTTGTGTTTCTGCACGTATCTGACTCATTTAAGTGCTAGCTTTGTGGAATACTGGGCTATGTATTTCCCTCATCTATTTGGACATCTATATTAACATTTCCCATGTGTAAATATTATAGGCCTTATCTCATAGTGTAAGGGACCGCCTAATTGAACGTTGGCATGATACTCATCAATATGTCAAGAGGAAAGATCCAAAGCGCGTGTACTTCCTCTCATTGGAGTTTCTCATGGGTATTAAAATGAGTATCATTCAATTTTGTTGATATTTACTTTATTATAATGCTAGTTATTTTCAATGATAATCTTTGTCAATTACAATTATTTATTGCACTAGCTGTTGTTGTTTACCTCAGGTTTTTCCATATATTTGATGGGAATTTTGAAATATGTAAACATATTTTCATATTTTAACCCTGTCAAAGTACTACATAAACACATCTGGAAATCGGTTCTTTTTATGGACTCTCTTAGTTTTGTTATACGTCATGGAATGGTGGCCATGTTTTGTATTTACTTGAGTTAGAAGGAAACAGATTCTGGTGATACGGTCTTCGCAAGCTTGTCTTTTATTTTGCATGAATGCATTGAGAGCACAGCTGTATGATTGACTGGTCTCAGAACGGAATTCATGGTGCTTTTTATTTCTATTAATAAGTCTATGTGGTGGATTTGTGTTTCATTTATGTGTCTTACTTCTCCAGTGAAATGCTGGTTATAGATAAAAAAGGAAAATATTATGTGCCTTTGTTTTGCACAATTAAGTTTCATTTTTGAAGAATTGTCTTTCTGAGCTTCGATCATGTCACATTGTTTTGTAATATAACTCGTTTGTAATATGACATGTTATCTACATAAAAAATGGCATAATTTTGATTTTCATGCCACTAGCATGCAGTGCTTATTAGTGTGGCCTTTAGGGTCTTTCAGGTCGATCTTTATCAAATAGTATTATCAATTTGGGCATAAAGGATCAATGTGTAGAGGCCTTGTCCCAACTCGGCTTTGAATTAGAAGTACTGGCAGAGCAGGTAAGGAAATTTTTTTCTCATATTCATAATTGTGAGATTATTTCTTTTCCCCATTGCTATCATGAGTCTTATTGTAGATGGGAGCAGGTACGGATAAATTTTCTCATATTCACAAATTATGTGATTATTTATTTTCCCTATTTCTATCTCAACTTTCTTATTGCACTATGTAAGAACGTGTTTTAATTTTTCTTTTGGTGCATGAATTTTAATTGTTCAGAATGTATTTGTGTTCCATATAGTGATTGGAAATTCTGAAATATAGTTCCCAGTGTCTATTATTATTTTTTGTTTGACATCAATCTTATCAAAGTTGTCTTGATTATGTGCTTCTTGGAAGTATCATATGCATTAGAGCTTTGGAGTATATTGATAACAAATTAATGTTAACGAAATGGAAGAGCCTCACCTTTCTGTACCAGTAATTTATGTGACCAGAGTTTTGCTATGTTAATAATGCACAGGATTGCATAATAGCTATCTTTGTAATGGGGAATATGTTTGTCACCAACTTCTTTTGGTGCCTAGTTAGTCTTCCTTGCATTCCTTCAAGAAATTGACTTCTCTTAGGAGTCACTGTTATTTGATTCCTTTTACCTTTGGGATTGAAAGGAAGGGGATGCTGCTCTTGGTAATGGTGGCCTAGCTCGTCTTTCAGCATGTATTATGGATTCGCTAGCGACATTAGACTTTCCTGCCTGGGGGTATGTTTCTCTCTCTTATTCAAGCCTGGGGAACCTTTCTAGACTATGGCAGCTCATTTTTTCTTGATATTAATTACTCTGTAGAAGTGGCTTTTCTGTAGAACTTCAAATGGTTAATTTCTATACCTTAGAAGGTGTACAGTTGCTTTGGCTTGCCCCATTATGTGAGCATCTTCAGCCTTGTTTCTTTTCAAAAATATTTCAACATAATAATTTCTCTGAACATTTATATTCCAAGAATGGGTCCTCGAAAAAAGAAAAAGAAAATTCTTCGACAGTTCGTAGATATCTCCTAAAGGAAAAGTATACTATATTCCAGTGGTCTATGGGAAAACCACAGTCCAGTGGGGTCATCATTATCGAATAAAACAATGGGGAGAGAGAGAGCAGTGCCACCATAAGATGACCATATTTATCAAAACTCTGTTTAGAACACATTCTTTACAAAAATGCTTATTTTTTAAAAACAGATTTTAAAAGGCATGATTTTCAAAGAAGCTAAAAAAAGCTTGAATTTTTTGAAGAAAAATGAAATATTGCCATATTTTTTCTTTGTTATAAAGGAAAAAGTTTATACAAGGTGTCAACCTGATACTGTAGAAGTAAGGTGCACCTCAAAAATCCACCCAAGAAGGTTGTTCCGAATCCCTACTGTTGATCATCTCATCCTTGAGATGTATGGATATGAGAAAAAGGATTCGAAGAACAAAAAGTAGTGCATCTTGTAATACATTATATAGACCGTCCATTTACAAAAATTTGAAGTGTTTATAGATCTGCTTAATCTACACTGTTTTTGGAGCTTTGAATTTCATAATTGAAGGTGGAAATAGATATTTAAGCCATCATAAAGGTTTTCAGCACCACTATTGTATGTTTTAGCAATATTTAGAGGTGCAGTTTACTTTTATTGTTTAAGGTTGATGCGGTGCCTTATACAAATCGCACCATTTTATATAAAGGGTGTGGTTTTTATAGAGCCTAGGCTCTAAACAATCAAATTAGAGCCTACCTTCAAATAGTGTTGAGAAATATGGTTTCAATATTGAAAATCTTTGTGATAGCCTTAAAATATATTTTCATATTTATTTATAAAGTTTAAAGCTTCTAAAAATAGTATAGATTGACCTATCTATAAAAACTTGAAAATCTTGAAAATTGACGGTCAAAAAATGAGTTACAAAATACACTATTTCCAAAAATTGCAATCAATTTTTTTCTCATGTCCATACATCTTGATGTTGAGATGATCAATTTGAAGATATTTGGGCATCAAAACAACCTCTTCTAGTGAAATTTTTGAAGTAGGCTCAAATTTAATTGTTTAGAGCCTCGGTTCTATATAAACTTTGCCCTTATATAAAAGGTTTTCAAAATAATTTTTAAAATTCCTTCAAGTTTATCTTTTTTGTTATTTTTATCAAATTAGCCCTTACTCATTGGGATAAAAGGCATTCTTTGGTTGATTACTCACATTGTGAATTAAAATTCTTCATGTTTCTTGGAGGCTAATTTAATAAACTGACCCTTGCACAAGTTTCAAAAAAAAATAAACTGACCCTTGCACATGTTCACACAAATACATATATGCAAACTTTTTTAACTGTGTTTTTCATTTAATCCCAACAAATCCTTTTTTCTTTTCTTTTTTTCACTCCACAATTTTCTGGTGCTTTGTTTTATTTGACCATTTTCTTGGCCTGGTTTCTTTGGACCAAAACTGAATTAATTGAGTTTTTGGTTTATCAGTATATTGTGTTGCATGTATTGCTGACTATGAGCAGGACATGCCCCCCATTGGTCTGTATTTCTCTTTCTCTCTCTCTCTCTTTTCATTGGATGGTGATTTCCCCAATGGATTATGCTAACTTTCTTCATGTCGATCGGATTATAGTATGCTTTCCTTATGTTAAATGTTGAAAACCTTCAGCTCCATTGCCAATAACTGGATTGGCATTTGCATTCTGTAGTTATGGACTACGATACCAGTATGGATTATTCCGCCAAGTAATATTGGATGGGTTTCAGCATGAGCAGCCTGACTATTGGCTCAACTTTGGTAACCCTTGGGAGATTGAGCGTGTTCATATTTCCTACCCAGTGAAGGTCTCTCCTGCTTCTAACCTTGTTGATTTTCCCGCTATTTTGCAGTGTTTTTTTTTTTTAAAATAAATAAATAGTTGCTTTGAAGTCTCTGTATTTAGGTTGCTACAATTTCTTTGAATCCATCTCATGTCTTGGTCTTTTCTAATGGCGGGTGCTTTAGTTCTATGGGACGGTGGAAGAGGAGATTGTTGATGGCAAGAAATTCAAAATCTGGGTTCCTGGAGAAACGGTAAGGCAGTGCGTCTATTCCCCCATATTGGATGAAATATGCTTGCAATTGTTGTAGTTTATCTCAAAAAATATCAGGATGGTGACTGGAACTACTTCATAGATCATGGAGTTCATCTAGAAACTTCAAACGCAAGACAATATACGGAGCAGTCAACTATGTTTCTAATAATATTTAATTCCCAGTTAACCTTTTCTCAAAAAAAAATAAAAATAAAAAAATTCATCCTTCCCCCCTCCTCCCCCCCCTCGCCACCCAAAAAAAAACTCAACCTCCCAGAGGTGTCATTTACCTTTTCACTCATCTAATATTTTGGATACCAGATTGGTGTAATGGTCATTTTAGAAAAAATTAATGGCGTCCAGGCACCCTCTCAATTTCAAGTTTCTGGACCACCCGCATGCTGTATGTAGGTGTTCCAGCTACTATCTTGATATTTTGCTAGTTTATTAATACCACATGCAACTCACATAAGGGAGATCAGAACATTCAAATTTGAACATTTGAATCTTGAGAACTTCAGTAACCATATGTAATAGCTTCAATGTATCTTTTGTTAATGTACATTCTGATGGAATTTATACTATCTTCTGTTTCATTCTGATTCAGCTTGTGTATGGTAGGTGGAAGCTGTTGCCTATGACAACCCTATTCCTGGATATGGGACGCGGAACACCATTAATCTTCGACTTTGGGCTGCCAAACCCAGCGACCAGTATGATATGGTTTGTATAACCCTTTTTTCTTTTGGTAATTGTTTGTTTAACTCCTTGGTATCTATCTGACGATGGAACAATGCAAACTCCATGTGTCTTGAAATTGTGTTGGGATATTCTACTTGCCGAATATTTGATATAAGGATCTTTTCCCAATCATTACTTTATGAGGATATCATGCATGAATTGATTAATGAATTTCTGTCTGTTATGCATGAAGCAATCAATGTGTTCTTTGTGGCTTACTTGTGTGGAATTTGATTGATACTGATTAATTACAGAGAATGTCTTTCGAAATTTGATGTTCATGACAAGGTTGAGTGTTTGTTGGCTGGCTTCCATAATGATTAAATCTAGGAAACAATTAATCAACTGGCTTCAAAGAAAAGTATGCAACTTTGATTGTCAGTTATAAGAGGAAACCTCCCATTGTAGGATGGGAAATAATCAATTGACAGAGTACAGCTCATCTCTGAGAGGGATGTCAAAAGCGTTGGGTCACCATCAAATGGTACGATCCTGGCTTAGTTTGCCAAAGAGGTGGAGGCCCAAGACTGCGGATCCAGCCTGCAAGCCAACTGAAGCAGATAAAACACTTCAGCAGAGGGCTGCTTTTGCTTAACTTGACGGACTGCTACAATGGTCCTTTTCTTTTTCAGCTACATCAAGGAAAAAAAAAGAAAAAACCTAGGGGCAGAAAATCACCCCAAATTCATTTGAGGTGTTTATGTTGGGAAAATGCCCCTTTTTTAATATAATTCATTAATTAACATATCTGGGTATTATACATCCTGTCTGCTCTGCTTGTGTTTTTCTCTCACATTGTTTAGTAGCATACAATTAATTATCTATAGAATTCCATCATCAATTCGCCAGGATAAGACAAAGCTGTTATGGTATTACAACAGGTAGTGGATTACTATGATTGAATTGTTTTCTTCTTGCCAGATGGTATCGACTTTCAATATGCATAGATGTCCACATCATGTCAAATAGCTCTAGTTTCAGGAAATTTGCATTTTTTTAATTTCAATATTTTCTGAATCATTTTTTTCTTGTGTGAAGGACTATCTTATCTTGACTGCTATGTTAAAAAATATAGATACTCTTCCGTGGTATCTTGGAACTTGAAAAATGTTGAATTGTTTTAACTTCTAAGGAACTACTGCTAGCAGGAATCCTTCAATACTGGAGATTACATCAATGCTGTCATCAATAGGCAGAAGGCGGAGACGATAAGCAGTGTTCTGTATCCTGATGATCGTTCTTACCAGGTACATTGCTTGATTTCCCAGGGCAGAAATTCTATTGAGGAAATGCAGTCGGAATCCTTCATTTATGATTGTGTTGGAGAACCTTTTGGAAGCCATGATACCCTATATATAGTTTTTAGCGGTTGTCCCATTCACTAACTTTGCATCACTTAACGAACTTGAACATGACATAGAGCTTGTAAAAGTGGCGCAACAGTCAGACAGTCAAATGCAGTCCTCTAGCAGTATTGCCCTTATATCTTGCCTGTGATTTAATGTGGCCTTTCTTTTTTATTTTTTATTCTTGGAGAAAATTTAATGTGGTCTTTCTTTTTTGATAATTTAGCAGTAGGATTTGAACTTGGCACTTAGCAGTTGCAGAGTCAACATCTTAGGATTTGAACTTGGCACATAGCAGTAGGATTTGAACTTGGCACTTAGCAGGTGCATAGCACTTAGCAGTGGCTATGCACCTCTACACTTCTTTTTGGGCATGAAGTCGTTTTCTCAGAATATCACTTATTGGGTACGTGGTGCGCACTTGAAAACTTGGAGAGAAAATTTATTTAACTGAAAATGAATGAAGACACCAATTGACTAAACATATGCTTTATCCATGTGGTCATTGATAAGATAGTGTTTGGTGTGAAATGCACTTACTACTTACACTGCTCATTGGCACTCTTCGAACGAATCTTTTACATTCTGTGGTGCGTAGTTTTGGTTCTCTCTTGGAATTTTATGTCTACCTCAATAATTAAATGAAGCCCATGAGTGAGAACACCTTTTGCATTGCTATTGGAACAAAAAATTACATATGATTAATTAATGGGATGGGAGGTTTTCAGATGATATTATTTTGTGCTGTATGAAAGGCAGCAGGAAAGGTTGAAACGTAGTGTCCTGCGATTGGTATCTGTAGGTTTGCTGTATAGTCATTGAAATTTTCAATGCTCTGTTCTTCATTGTAGGAACTGTTTACTGTTTAATTCCATTCTATAACTTGTGATTTCGTTCTCATTGTCTAACAGATCTGTGGTTTAAAAATGTATTTTCTGTTTTATGGATTCCTTGGTTTAATTTTTAGTTATGTATTTCTGTATTTTAGGGGAAAGAACTTCGTCTTAAACAACAATACTTCTTTGTCTCAGCATCATTGCAAGACATTGTTCGCAGGTTCAAGGATTTGCATACTAATTTTCAGGAATTCCCTGACAAGGTGTGTTTTGATGGCTTCTTCCGTGATATATGTTCGATATTATTATTTTTATGATTAGTAAAGTAGAAGGGAAATGTGTTACTTAAATCACTTGATTGTTTTTGGGTTTATCTTAAATCCTGTTTGTTTTGTTTCTTTTTAATTTTTATTTTATTTTTTATCACTTGTTTTTCTACTATGCAAACCTTCATGTGGACCTATGCCGGAAGTATAATATGGGTGACAGTAAGAAATGAGTGTCCTACATGTTGCAGGTGGCTTTGCAGCTAAATGATACCCATCCTTCTCTAATGATAGCTGAACTAATGCGGGTTTTGGTTGATGAAGAGCATTTGGATTGGAATGAGGCATGGGGTATTGTGGGCAAAGCGTTTTCCTTCACAACTCACATTGTTGTCCTTGAAGGGCTAGAGAAAATTCCTGTTGACTTACTAGGGAGTCTTCTACCACGGCATTTACAGGTAAGCTTTCCAGGTTCATTGAGCTCCACTTTGTTTATCTCTCTTAACGATTAGTTCATTAGCGCATTATTGAACCCATAACCTGATGCCAGGTTCTTCTGTAATGTTTCTATTGTTGCTAATTGTTGCTTTTAGTAAAGAGATTTATTTATCTTTAAACACACACGCATGCACACACTAACCACTAGGTTGCAGCCCATGAGATGCATGGGCAAAGCATTGAGAAAGATGAAACCAAATGGAATTTTTTATTTTGAAACATATTCAAAGTAAATTTTTGCCAAATAAATATGGATATCTTTCAGAAATTTGCAAAAGTGTTTTGATTCGTATAGGTTCTAATGGAAACAGCCCTTCTATAATTTGTCCTATTTTCATGAAACTGCTTATCTATTAATTTTTGGGATAAAAATGTTCTATTTTTGTAGTTTATTCGGAGGAAAAGCAATTTTTACTACTACCCTAGTTTGTTGAGGATTATGTGGAAGGACTCTATTACCTATATCTATTAGGACTATATGATATTTAGGACCTTATATTTTAGGGTGCTATTATTTGTATCATTAGGATCTATGAACATTTATGAGATCATAGAATGTGTGTGGGAAAATATGTACCATGATCTATATGCATGCACAGACACACATGCACACGCTTGCATGCACAGACATACATTGAAGGTTGTAAATTGTGGTGCTTGGGGCTAGGCCATCTGGCCTTGCAAATGAATACATTAAGAGCTTTTTTTCCCCTCCCCCCCCCTTTTCCCTTGTGAGTTTCCATATAAACCCAAAGTCTGAAAGTATCCCAAAAGGGTATGGAACGCATTTTTGAAGTACCCGTTTGTCATGGCTTGTATTGCCGCCAAATTTTGGATTTCGCCATAACAAAAAATCCATAATTTCAGATTGTCTGTCCTCATTGCAGTTAGGGCTGGAAATGGGCCTCGGGGCCTGCCTCTAAAAACTAGTGCCTGGGCCACATTTTGTGGTCTGAGGGTTGGGCTAGGATGGGCCACCATGGCCCAAGTGCCGGCCTGGGCCTAGCCAGGGCCAGCCCGACGCTTTCCTTTTTCCCCTTCTTTCGAGTGTATTAGGTCCAGGCCCGGATGGGGCCAGGGTCGGGCCTGGGCTTCAGCTGGCCCTGTAGGGATTAGGGCCCTGCTAAATCCAGTGCGGGCCTGGCCCAAGCCCGCCCCATTGCCAGCCCTAAGATTTATAGTATTTAATGTAGAAATTCCATAAGGTGTCAATTGAACCCAAATATAATCAGAAGAGTACAATACTCAATGCCATGTTATACTAACATGATCTGAAGAATATGCCAAAGGATATCCTTTGTTCTGCTACAATATTTAGTGAATAAATGCAGCAAAATAGGTCAAAAGGCTTGAATCTTAGTAACAATAACGCAATCTTTTTACAAACTAATCTTCTTTACTAAATTTTCACCACAAGTTTATATTTCTATTTAAGGATGCCTTTATTAAATGACTTATTTCGTATGTAAGGTTTTCTTTTAATAAATCTAGCAACCAGAATGGATTTTGTTTTGTTTGGTCAATAGGTAGTACCATGATGGATGATTTTACTTCTAAACATTATCTGGCTGTCTTAGGGTTTTCCTTCATATCATCAGATGTCTAAATTGCAAATTTTGTTTCAGATCATATATGATATAAACTTCCTTTTCGTGGAGGATCTTAAAAAGCGGTTTGGATCTGATTATGATCGTCTTTCTCGGATGTCAATTGTTGAGGAAGGTCCTGTGAAGGTAGCTTGACCATTTCTCACCTCATGAAAAGTATGAGTTCTCATTAATTGTATTATGAAATTGTCGGCATTTTTCTGAAGAAAAGTTTCTGTTGCAAGAAATGTGATGCCTGTCACTAGGTTGAAAGTGTTTGGAATTACCACCAGATGCTATAATATTTTGCTGACTAAAGGATTTGGATTTAGAAATCGTACAAGGGAAAATAAAAGATACAATGATGAACACCATGTTATGTGCTTGTGATATCAAGTAGCCTTTGGAGACCAATATAGTGGTAACATATATCCTTTTCTTTAGCATTGTTTATAATGCCAATTATGTTGTGCACATTTATTGTTCTGCAGTAGGTGAAGGGAGGTCTTAGAGCTGCCCTCTATCTATGTCAGTTTCTTACTGTTGGATGCATCATGAATTGTTCTCACCTTTGGAGACTGTTGTGCCAGACTTGGATTATGACATATTTTTTAAAATAGGCTTTTCTAATTTATTCAAATATGCTAAATATACACATTGTGGGATGGATCATGTGATTGATTCGAGAAAAATTCAAAATGTAATTTAAGATGTTTTTCAACCATTTGGCATAAGTCAGGCCACGAAAATAAATCAAATTGGAATGAGACAAGTATCTCTTTGAATAGGTGCTTCTTTTCCCAAGAAACATCTATAGTCACAGTCTCATAGATCTCTTGGTTCAAACTGGGGAGTGAGGAATGCCTTGGTGTCGGCATGGAATATGAGTTGTCACCAGGAAATATAATGGCATCATTTTAATCAAGAGAGTCAACCTGCCTTGACCTAATGATCTGAATTATACACTGTTTTCTGAAATAGTAGATTCACACCTGGTATGGGTTTTTTCAGTGTAGGCAGACACATTTTGTTTGTTTAGCTTTACTTACTTCAAGAATAGATCACACTTGTTCTGTTCTATTTTTTTCCCTTTTTCCCTTTGGTGATTATATGGTTGACCTTCATTTGCTCATATGTTTCTATTTGTGCGTGTTTTGGTTTTTTTTGTTGTCTTTCTTCGGTATTGTTTGATTTGCAGAATGTTCGGATGGCAAATCTGTCGATTGTTTCTTCCCACACTGTGAATGGTGTCTCCCAAGTACACTCACAAATTTTGAAAACAAAAGTATTCAAGGTACTTTGATGTGTACCTTCGTTTTGTTGGTGTGTACCTTAGATACAGATAGATACACATGTTGAGTTTTCTTATGTCTTATAAATGTTACTTTATTTATTTGCTGATATATTGTACTTATCAAATAGCCTATTCTTTGTTTTAATCAGTTCATTTCATGTTTTGGAGTTGATGAGTTTATTATGTGTAATTTCACTGTGTAGGACTTTTATGAGCTTTGGCCAGAGAAATTTCAGCACAAGACAAATGGGGTTACTCAGGTAGAATAACATCTTCTTTTCATGCATTGATAATGTGATTTTCATTGCAATATTCATAACTATAATATTCATCTACATTTTTAATTGTCAAATAACATACATAGTGATGTGTTCAAGAACTGGTTATGGTCATTGCTGTATAAGTGGAAAAAGGACATTTTTTATCAGACTTAGGATGTCATGTATATTTGTAAGTTTGTGTAGTTGATGAGATTGATGGTTTTCTATGCTGTGGTCCCCTCATCAGCGTCGCTGGATTGTGGGGAGCAACCCTGGCTTATGTGGTCTTATCACAAAATGGCTTGGTACAGAAGCTTGGATTCGGAATGTCGATCTTTTACTGGGTTTGCGGCAACATGCTGCCAATCCTGAGTTGCAAGAAGAATGGAGAATGGTATTTATGTACTTGAAAAATTCTACATCCGGAATTTTTTTTGGGAGCTGCATTTTTTTGTTTCTCTATTGTAAAATTTGTGTCGTTTCCTCTTCATATTTTGTAGATTCGAAGGGTTAATAAAAAAAGGCTTGCTGATTATATAGAAGCAATGAGCGGTGTCAAGGTTTTCTGTTAACTTCCTTTGTGTTTTTTATTTGGCAATAATGTTACTATATCTATTAATATCGTTATCATATGAACATATAATATTAAATGCTTCATTGTTGAAAGTTCTAAAAAATAACCTCTTCACAACATGCAGTCATTCTATTGTATTATTGCATGGCATCACAGGTATGCATCGATGCCATGTTTGATGTACAAGTGAAAAGAATTCACGAATATAAGAGACAACTGCTTAATGTGCTAAGCATCATCCACAGATATGATTGTATAAAGGTCAGTGAAAATCGGCACTTTATTCTTCAAAGTGATTTTCTTTCTTTCTGTTTGAGAAAACCTTAAAGCTCGGGTGTCTGTGGAAAGGAAATATATTAGTTCTTTGCTAATTTTAAGAAGTCCCAGATCATTGAATACCTTCCTTTTATACATTTGTTAAGCACTACAGAAAACCATGCATAATTTGGCTGTATATACCATATTGCCTGTAAATCAATTCTAGTGGTTGATTCTTCTTCCTTACATGTGTTGAATGTGTCTTAAGTTCCATGGAAGTACAAGTTCCACTTCATTTACAGATTCATATTGCAGAACATGAAAAAGGGCGACAGACGAAAGGTTGTATCTCGTGTTTGCCTAATTGGAGGAAAAGCTGCTCCAGGATATGAAATTGCAAAGAAGATTATCAAACTTGTGCATGTTGTTGCTGAAAAGATCAACAACGATCCTGATATTGGAGATCTTTTGAAATTAGTAAGCTGAAGAAATTATTACCATGTGTTTCATTGAATTATTTTTCAATTTTATTTTTTTGGAAATGAACCATCTTCTGCATAAGTTATATTATCACAACCAAGATTAGCTTTGTTTTGTTATTCTTAAATTTTTATTATTGTTTTTCTTGCATGGGTAAGCTGGCTGTAGAACCTAAAACCATCATGCTGCAGCCCCAACATTGTTCTTTTTAAAAAAAATTGATAATGCATGTATGCAAGTGTGCATATATGCACACTTAGGCATGTTTTGGCAATATTTGGGTGAAGGTTACCCTGAATCTGATTTTGTTGATTCACAAATGGTTTATATATTTTTCTGGTGCTATTCTTCTTCCTATTTCACATTTCATCAGGTGTTTTCAGTATTCATCTTCATTGAATCTTCTAAAATGAAGTCTATTTCCTCACTCTTTTCTTTTTTAGGTTTTCATACCAGATTACAATGTATCTGTAGCTGAACTGGTTGTACCTGGAAGTGATCTTTCCCAGCATATCAGGTAAGAAAAGAAAAACATGCCGTCATATGTGGTCGTGCTGATTGTGATTTATCAACCCTCTGCCTATTTATTAGTTGGACTCCAGATTGTACTTTCTTGTATTAAACTTAGGACGGGATCCTAGAGTCTGAGTGCACTTTTGAGAACATAGTCCAATGGGTTATTACCATCCAATGAAATAGATTGTGATGGTTAGAGAGAGGGATCCACCAAAATAGGAAGTAGTAGTCCCCAGTGGTAGGTCCATTCCCTCTGCATCACAATCCATTTCATTGGAGAACGAATTTGATTTTGCATGATTTGTTGAAATATAGGAATGTAAGGATGGATTTTCTGCTATGAATTTCATGGATGGCAGATACATTGATGACGACATATCATCCTCAATAGAATGATGCAAGCATAGTCTATGGTTGGGTTAGCTTAGCTCATAGAGCAGAGGACTGAAAATCCTAGTGTCACGAGTTCAAATCTGGTTCCTGGTATGTGGTTAATGTATTGAAGAGATAATTTTATACAAATTAATCAATATGGAGCGGGATACATGGTCGCATGAATGTCTTCCTCGCCATTAATATACTTGCTTGCAGTAATCGTGGCTTCGCAAGAGAATCGATGACTGCATCTTTGATGCACTGCTAGTTCACCTGATAAGTATGAATTGGCTAGTTGTAAGAGGCCCCGGTATTCTCATATCGATACTGGTAGGAGAAGAACCTGACTTTGTATTCTTATAAAAGGAAAAAGGAGAGAAAGTAGAACCAATTCAATATGATATGGATCAACCCATTCGTCTTGTGCCAAAGGTCTTGCCATTTCTGGAGGAATTGGAGCTATGTTTCCTTTCCATTTCCTTCAAGAGTTCTTATATGTTTCCATGCCTTTTGTGACCTCCATAAATGAACTCGGTCCTTTTCTTAGGAACACATACAAGATCTTCACTATGAAAAGGATGGTTGTAACCTCACAGTTATTTCTTAGGAACACATGATGGTTGTAACCTCAGCTATTGCTTAGTGACACATTCAAGATTGTCACTGCAAAAAGGATGTTTATAACCTCAGGGTTAATTACTAAATATAACAGAAATACATGTCCTACCAAAAGAGAACTTGTAACTTATGAATTTTAACTTTCTCTAAGACCGTTCAGTACATTGGTTTTATCTGTCAACTTAGATAAAAACTGTTGCATGTATTGCAGCACGGCTGGTCATGAAGCATCTGGGACTAGTAGCATGAAGTTTCTGATGAATGGGTGCCTACTTCTTGCCACTGCTGATGGTTCAACCCTTGAAATCATTGAGGAAATAGGTGAAGATAACTTGGTGAGCCAGCAATCCTTGATTCTTGTTTTATGTCATAGTCGGCATTTGAACTGAGCTCTCTATCATGATCACGTAGTCGCCTTTAGTAATGCTGCCAGATTTTCTCATTCAGTTTGTCTTTGGAGCCAAATTACATGAAGTCCCATCTTTACGGGATAAAGCTCGCGACTTTGAAGTACCTCGACAGTTTGCACGTGTGGTGAGGTATGCTGAAATGAAGTGATCACTTAATTCAATTATTCACTTATTTCTATGGCTTCTCTCTCTCTCTCTCTCACTCTCTCTCTCTCACACACACACACATAAAAAATAGATCATAATGTTGGTTTCTTTGGTAATGGAAAGGATGGTTCGAGAGGGTTACTTTGGGTTTGGAGATTACTTCGAGTCTCTGTGCGACTCCATTGAGGGTAATGGTGGTGACTTCTATCTCCTTGGAAATGATTTTATGAGCTATCTGGAAGCACAGGTATCTCTCTCCTGTTATTTTTTTGCCAGTAGCTCTCTTTTTTCCATCTGGATCTATTTGCAAATCTCTGCCTATGGTGTTTGTAGGCAGCGGCAGACAAGACATTTGTCGATCAAGAGAGGTGGACACAAATGAGCATTCTTAGTGCAGCTGGTTCAGGAAGATTTAGCACTGACAGAACAGTTGGGGAGTATGCAGAGAAAACATGGGGGATTACACCTTGCAAGTGTCCTTGAAGAGAGAGAAAGAGAGAGATTATGTTCCAGATAAATGTTTCGGAAAATCCTTTTTCAATGGTAATGCTGTTATTCAAAATGATTTTTTTTTTGTTTCTTTTTGCAAATAATGGGCTCTATGTCGGAAGTTGACAGTGAGAGGCATGGACTGGTTTAGTAGCATATGGAAACTTGCTTTTGATCATGTATTTATTCGTTTCAATAAATAAATTTTATTTTACGTGCAGAGCATTTGGATTTGGAATCTTGAACAATCGTAAAATGCCAAAATTTGTTACCTAAAAAATTCTCAATTTTGATTTTAAATCTTTCGTTGAGAAATATACCCTGATACCACCCCTTGATACTGCTATTACAACTTTCCCTTTAAGCATTATATGTTCATACCATTTTTCTTATTTTTCCACAATCCGAAGTGAACAACTTCGGATTGAAGTCATGAATAACCTTTTTACTATGATGTTGGACCTTCAAGTCCCGAAGTGAACTTCAAATATTTATTTCGGATGTTGAAGATTCGAAGTCTAGACTTTTAAGACTTGGAAGGTCCAAAGTTGTAAATAGATTGTTGACTTGGCATCTTGAGGATTTGAGGTCAAGAGTTTTAAGTTGATTTTTTATTTTTGATCTTGGATATCTGAAAGCAATAATTTCTTTCACACTTTAGACCTTCAAGTTTTGAAATAGGGGTTATTTTAGAAAAACTGAAAAGGAAAAAAAATGTTAAGAGCATAAAATACAAAAAATTGGGGGAAGAACGGTTTTGAATAGCTAGAAGGGTGAACGAAACGTAAATTTCTTGTTTATTTGTTTCGTTGAAACTTGGAAGACATCGAGTCCTCAATACGAATCTAAGCATTCATTTACACCAGGACGAATGTGCGCTCCATTGGGGGCACACTGTAGATTTGCACACATTGCCTAAAGGGGCATCTATTTGGGTCTGTTTTGTCGCTCCAGAAAATGTCAAAGCTTATAGAAGAGCCTTAAGGGATGGATAGGGGATAACCTATGAGAACTGGCTCTCAAAACTTTTAAACTACCTTAGAAAATACTGAAATCAAGAGAGGCCGCATGAGAGCACCTTTCCGGTTCGAATTCCCCAACAATTAGGGCAGAGAAGCAACATTCACCTGGTTGGGTGTCAGGAATTCCAAAAATGGGAACTGACCATCAAAACATTTTGTCTAATAGATTTTGTTCAGATGAGTACAAACTTCTTCTAGAACATGATTGGAGTTAAAACATAATCCATGAAAGAAAAAACTTCTAGAACATGATTGGAGTTAACATAATCCCTGAAAGAAAAATCATTAGGTTTGAATATAATTGAAGCAAGATTCAATTCTTGCCACGGTGTTCGAACCGAACACCAAGTCTTTAAGAGCTGGGTGAAGTTTGAAACTTAATTGACAGTTGATCTGAAAGTCCACAGGATGAACCTCAGGTGGCTATGAGATCTTGTGGATATATCTGAATTTGGATGCATGTAAATCACAAAACAAGATGCCACCCCGGCCCTTCTTTCTGTGTTCCTCTCCCTAGGTTTCCCTCTCAATTTTTCGCCTTTTTGATTGAAATAATTTTGAATATGATATTCATGTTATGAGCATCATAGTCAAGTAGCCATTGTCTAACATCTATCACTTATGCTCATCAATTGCTTGGTGGAGTTCAGAATTCTTTTTACTAAAAAAAGAGTAGGGTAGTTGTAAAGAACTCAGTTGCCCAGGGAATGTTGACTGAGTTCCCTATTCCATTCTCTGCCAAGCATGGAGTATTTTCCATTTGAAAATGGTTTAAAATAATTGTAAGGATATTTGAATGAAGCATTTTATTTTTTAAAATGGTAAAAATTACTTAACAAGGAACATTTTCTATTTGAAAATGGTTAAAAACAATTATGGGGAAAATTGGATGAAAATTTTTCCTTTTGAAAAAGGTTAAAAACATTTCTGGGGAACATTAGATGAAAATTTTTCCTTTTGAAATGGTAAGAAATACTTAAGAAGCAACATGAATGAGAGAGATTCCGGCTTGGGTTTGATCAGATGCGGAGGCTATGTGTGCAATACTAGGTGAAATCCTTAGTTAGGGGTGAGAACTTTTCGGATCGAGTTTGGATCCACACAGGTCTGGATCCGGATCTGATCAGATCCAGAATATTCAGATCCAGATCCAAAACTATACATGAGATCCGGATTAGGTCTTCTAAAAATTTTAAAAATTATAGAATGTATAAATTAATATATATATATATATATATATATATATATATATACTATTTTTAAAAATCAGATGGGATCCACTTGTACTTAGATCAGATCCAAATTACTATTCAGATCGAAATTTTGAATCCGCATCCAAATTATCCGGCTCTGAAATTTAAGTTTAGATCCAAAACAGGGTAAATTCTCAGTCCTATCCTTGGTGAAATAACCCCAAAGAGGCTCTGGTGCCTCATCTCTTGGGTTTTCTTTTGGGATGTGGCTTTCTCAAATTCGTTATTTTTTGCTTCTCAAAATTTCTACAGTGGATTTCATTTACTATCGGTGAATATGAGTTTCTTATTGTGCTATGACATCAATCCAATTGTCCGCATCAGAATAGCCAAAGTTGTGGCATTCCCTCGACCAAAAATAAACGTGGATTTGAGGGGAGGATTTGAGATCTACTGGCTAGGATGATGCTAAAATCTTGTAAGAGTCGTCCATGCACTTAAAAGAATCATCTCCAACAAATACTTGGTAGGGAAAATGTCTTCTAGTTAAAACCCATTACAAAATCATTTTAAGGGGTTTAAATGTTGGATTTACCTTTTTTTTTTTTTAACTTAGATACCTCTTCAAATAAATAATTAAAAAATACCCACATGTTCAAGGTTGGTAATAATATTTGACAATCGTGCAAAAGCAAGGGTATTCTTATCATTTGGTTGAAGTGTCTTAGGTGGTTCTAATTACCAAAATATGTTACTTATTTAGGTTCCTAACTTCGGCAATTTAGGTATTCTTAAAAATAGTTTTTAAAGAAGTGCCTTAGTAAAATGAATATTAAAATAAAAAATTTCAAATTCTAAACCCCCAATATTATGTTTGATCTATTTCCCTTGTTTGTACTTATTATTGCAAAAAATAACCATAAATGGCATGCACGAAAAGAAATAAAAGATATCTCATCAATATAGGAAAAGAGTATACAAAAAACGCCCAAGTTGTGAAGGAAGTAACAAGATATTAATACGATCATGCTCAAAGATAGGTGGCCAAGATAGCGGGGCATCGCAACATAATGCTTGAGTTTTATTCTTATCATAGGCAGGGACTCCTTCTAGTTGAACTGGTAAAAAGAAAAAATAATAATTTAATAAATACATTTTTGTAAAGTCAGTTCTAAAACTGTAATATTTAGTTTCTAAAACTGTATCATATTTTCTAAAAATCAAATAAGAAAAGGGATTTAACCTTTCCACTTCATGTTACAATTGTCAGTTTGGAATGTACGGTGTTAACTACTAGTTGCAAGGGTTTCACAAAAATCTTGTCATTTGAAAAACAAATGACAAATTGGACCTCAAGGTTCAAAACTACCCTTGATTTTCATTAGTTGCCCCTCCCTCAATGGGAGAGAACATCCAAAAATCTCCCCCATCCATTCTTAGGAGAGAGACCAGGCAGGGTTATAGTGGGGCGAGGTGGGGGTTCTTTTGATGCCCCAACTTCTTTTCCAGCCATGGCGGGTGATGGGTTACCCGTAATTCACTGTGTTCTTCACACCCCAAAAGCCCATTTCGGTTAGAGACAGGAAAGCGAATTACCCAATAGAAGTGAATTCCAAGGGGGGCGAGAGAGAGAGAGAGAGAGAGAGGTGTGCAATTGAAGAAGTCAGAATGGAGAGGATAGACAGATGGGGCTGGATATCTGAAGGTCGTCTCTTTTCCTGTGGGCCTTTCGATGAGAGAGAGAGAGATGGGTGAGTTGATCAGTTGAGAGAGAGAGCGAGATGGGGGTTAGACTGAAAGTCGTCTCCAGGAGATGTGAATGGCTTATAGAGGAAGAGATGGGTCGTAGATTCGAGAGAGAGAAAGACAAATAGGTCCCAGACTCTAGAGAGAGAGAGAGGGCGGATTTGGATCCTGAAAGTCACCTGCGAGTGGGATTGGGTATCCGTGTAACAGTCGGAAAAGCGAGAGAGAGAGTTGGACTTGGGGGTCGTCTAGAGTGAGAAAGACTTTTGGGTGTGTGAGGTCTAGTCTAGAGGGGACAAATCAATCAAATTAGAGATGAGGATGTTTTTCTATTGAAGTGGAAAACTTGTAATTTTTTACGCTGTGAATATTTTTTTTTTACATCTAAACTGGCCTAAGCTAAAGTATTTTTTAGAGAGAGAGAGAGATTAGGTTTTTAGAGAGAGAAAATACATTTTAGAAAGAGATTTGGTTTTTAGAGAGAGAAAGATTGAATTTCTAAGGAGAGAATAAATTTTAGAAAGAGATTTGGTTTTTAAAGAGAGAGAAAGGTTGTTTTTTGAAAGAGAATGAGATATTAGGTTTTTAGTAGAGAGAGAGAGAGAGTAAGTTTTTAAAGAGAAAAAGAGATTGGGTTTCTTGATAGAGAGAGAGAATGGATTTTTTAGATAGAAAAAAAGAGAGAGGGTTTGCATTGAGAGAACGTGTTTTAAAATTTTAAAAATATATTTTAACATGTATTTATTTATTTTGACTTACTATTCATGAGAAGACTTAAATTTTTTATTTTTATTGAATAAAGGCATGCTAAATGGGCCGGACATAGGCATTTTTTTTTTTGGCTTTACTGGCCCAACGGATCTGTTGGGCAAAACTCCGGGCTTCTCCTGACCAGCCAGTTTAAAGCCTGGCGAGCCAAACCCATTAGTGGCCCATTAACAAATCTGTTCCGAAAGCCCCAGGCCCGGCCCTGTCCATTAAGGGCCATAACGTCTCTTGAAACGAGAATTAAAGCTAGAAATGGGCAGGCAGAATGACAATATCCCAATAAAAATTTGGTATGTCATGGACGTTTACGGGCCGATTGTGTAGACTCTACCTTTTTAATGTCAGCGTAGAATCCGTCTCCCTCTCTTTTATGCTCATCTACTTTTATGGCTCTTTTACATCCCTCCCAAAATTTCAACTTCGACATAAAGTGAATCTCTTTTTAGAGGTCGGAATTAAAATTAGAGATCTCCAATTCCGAAACCTAGGAG